CTAGAGAGGCAACTGGAGTGTGAGGGCACTAACCTCATCAATGAGTTAACAGTGAGTTCATAGCTGAATGGACCCATGAGAAAGGGGGACCTAGTTGGAGGGAGTGGGTCCTGGGGCCATGACCTAGGGAGCTATATCTGGTCCCTGGTCCTTTGGCTCCCAGCAACAAACTAATATAGCTAGCATTTACTGAGTCCTCAGTAGATGTCTGGAATTCTCCTGCACGTGTGTTATCTCAAAACCCTTTCGGCAGTGAAATTCAGTGGCTGCTTTTTCCCCATCATTGAGATAAGGAAATGAGGCTTGGAGAGATTCAGGAACCTGCCCCAGGCCCCACCTAATAAGCAGTAAAATAATGCCCTACTCTCCTGCACTTTCTTATCTACTGAACTATGACATCTCAGGATCCTACTCATTGATTTTTAAATCTAGGGTCTCACCCTCATTGAAAATATAGATCTATCATCTCTAAACCTTTCTTTGGTGCCTGAGTACTTGCTGGAACTTATTAAGTAGGCAAACACTTTGAATTTTATGGCTGGATGGGAACTCGAAGGTGACTTTCACATGAAGATAGAACCACTGTACCGAGTTTCACCGAAGCTAACAAATGATTGTCCATTTCCCAAGTTGTGAGATGTATATTTCTGTTTTGGCTTTAACCATGATTTACATACATGCCAAATCTTGGGATGTTTGTATAGCTGAAATTGGTCACAGTTTCATCTGTATTAATGAACAGACTGTGATACAGAGGAGTTGTTCCTTGTGAAAAGTTACTGACAGTCTGCACTAGAATCTCTGTCTTTCTGTTTCCAGTCCAAGCTGATTCCAGCACACCACGGCATGGCAAAATTTGGATTTCATTCATAATTGTAATCTTTTATTACATTTTATTATGTGACAAATTAGCAGCTTTATTGGGAGGGCATTGAAGAATTGAATCCAGGGACACTCCACCTGCCTCCACTCCATTTTTTTCAATTTCTATTTTGAGACAGGGTCTTACTAAATTGCCCAGGCTGGACTCAAACTTGAAATCCACCCACCTCAGCCTCTCAAACAGCAGGTATTGCAAGCATGTGTCACCTTCCCCTCGGCTTAGCTTTTTTAATCAAGGGGCTTTTCTATATGTGCGGTTTTCATAGGACAAAGGGTTTATGTACTTTCGAACACTTTATTCCTGGTAAATTTTTGGAACTTGAACAGGAATATGCCTCTGTCCTTCTTCAAAGGGCCTACAGAAAGAAAGAAGAAGGTGGATTTGGGTTCAGAAAACATCTCATTTCTTTCAAAGCCCTTAAATTTCTCTTAGCAGTCACTGAGAGCCTGCTTTATGTCAAGCACTATGCTAGGTGCTTTATATCAATTATTTTTTAACTCCAAAGTCATTCCCAGCTTTATTTCCACTTTACAAATGAGGAGTTAAAGCTCAGGAAAGTGAAGTAAGTCCTTTACCCAAGGTTACGTGGTAAATTGTAGAGACAGGATTCAGACTGCAGTTTGCCTGGCCTGAGCTCACATTTCTCTTCTGCTCTCTTCCACCCTCGTTCCTCTGAGCTGCCATGTTGCCAACATTTTTATAATGATGATGTCCAGAAGAAGCTTTCTTCTGCCTGCTCTGGTATGAGGTGGACTGCAGTGTCTTCCCTGAACAAAGGGAAAATCAAATTGGAGTAGTAAATATGATTTTTCCTTTTGTCTTATGTAACCCCAAATTTCAGCACTCTCTACTGACACAGTTGGCTTGTGACAGAAATGCTGAGTTGTGCGGGGACTTTTTGCCAGCAAGGACTTTTGCTTTAAATTCACTCTGAGTTAGTAAAGGAAGTTTTCTTGTTGTGTAGAAATGAAAGCAGTGTCCTCTCTTCCTGATGCCTGTTTCAAAATGGAGAGAATTAAGCACGGGCCAATAACAGCAAAGCAAAGACAGAGGAACGAAGGGCTTTGCTGCTCAGTAAACATTCTGAGTCAGTATCTTCCTGGTGGGTGCCGTTGCCTGTGACTCAGATTCGCCAGGCCTCGCAATGTCTTCAGTTCTGCTGTTGTGGTCTCCGGTTCACTGTGAAAGTTGCGAGGCAAATCTCAAATATGCAGGTTTCACTAATGAGGCGGCCTTTAGGATTAATAATCATCTGAAAAGAAGGGGGTGGGGATTTCAATATTAGAGAATTTAAATATTAGAGAGTTTCTTCCTGTGTCCTTAAATAATTTTCCACTCTTGCTCTATTAATTGCTTTTTAATCTGCGCTAGTTTTGAATAGTTATCTCTCACAAATTGATGTGAGATATTTTGTCTTCTACTCACTGACAAAATAAATGCTTCCAAAAGTCACAGGCCAGTTTGAAGTAATTTCTTGTTCTACTGTGGTCCATGCTAGTAGGTGGTTGACAAGAGAAGTGCGGGCCACAGTCCTGCCTAGCCTGGTGGAAGGAATAATGACATATAATTTTATCACTTGTAATTCAAAAGCAATTTGTACAAAAGCAGTTTCTCACAGAATCCTGTCAGAAACCCCATCTTCCCACATTGCCAGGGGAAGAGACAGGAGGAAGGGAGTTGCCTGAAGAGGAAAGTGGGCTTCTCTTCAGCACTAACCTAATCCCATTTCTCCCACACTCTCTGGCATTCAGTGTTTTTTTCTTATAGCCTGGAAAGGAACGTGAAAGAGTTGGGAGGAATAGCATCCCTAGGAGGCAATCACAATTTCATGTACTTTCAGTTGTATACCACGTCCCCTGGTCTGTTCTGTTGTTCTACTTTGGCGCAGGAGTGTGTGGTTAAAATGACGTACAGCAGCTGGTCCATCTCTTTACCTGTACAGGTTCTTAGGAGACCGAACGTTTCTACCATAAACAATAACAAAAATAAGGTGGCAGTCAGCATTCTAGGTACTTCCTTTCCAAAAATGTTAAACCACTTTATATGTTTGGGGCCCTGTGCTTTTGTGAGAGGCCCATTTTTATTTTACCTCAAAGCTTTGTAATCTCCACGGTATCTGGGGTGAAGCACACCTGATCAGGTACCTGGTGGGAAATGGACTGTGTGCAGAACAGGGAAGGGATCTGCAGCTGCCAGGGACATAGCCTTCTCTGTACAGTGTTTGGAGTCTTGAGGATCCCTTGAAAGCGAGTGCGGTTAGGGTTCTCAGCATAGAGAGGTTGATATTCTGGTTGAAGTACAATGGTTTTTTTTGGACCAGGGATCGAACTCAGGACCTTGCGCTTATGAGGCAGGGGGCAGAACCACTGAGCTAAATCGCCGGCCCCTTTCAACAATTAGAGAAATACTTTTCTATGATGTTGCTCAGCATGATGCAGGTGCTTGAAGTATTTTAGTTCCCCTCTTCCATTCCTGCATGAATCTTATCCATGGGTATACTGTTTCTTTTGCTTGTAGTCCCTGTGCACCTGCCTATGTCCCATATATTCTTGGTTCTATTTTTTAAAAGAGTGAAAAGAATCTCCCAGTGGGTAAGTCATTTTATAGATGCTTGTTGTGATTGACAATATGCTTGGAAACTTAAGACTCTCGACCCCTGGACTGTCCAGACAACACATATTTATTTCTCAGTATCAAGAGGGGCCAAAGGGGATTTTTAAAAATCAGGTTTGGAAAAAGAAAAAAAAAAGTCAGGTTTGACTGTAGGCAGGTGAGAGTTCAAATACCTTGCCACACTTTCCTGACTCTCTGATTTTAAGTTAGGCAGGTTAACTTCTTGCTTGATCCTTGTTGCCTTGCCTATAAATAAGTAAAAATGATGATTTCTGCCCATCCTAATTTTTTATTTTTTTGAGAAATTAAGCGCATCGATATATTTTTATAAGTGGAAAGTGTTCCTGTTTCTTTTAGAAGCAACATGACCCATATGTTACCAACTGTAAGTATCCTTGGGGTTTACAGCTGTAAAGCTGCAGCAAATTGAGTTGAGATGCTACATTTACTTTAAGATAATGACATTTGCGGACAGGGGATTTGGCTCAGTGGTTCTGCCACTTGCCTCACAAGCACAAGAACCTGAGTTTGATCCCTGCTACCAAAAAAAAAAAAAAAAAAAAAAA